CTCTCTCTCTCTCTCTCCTCTCCTCTCCTCTCCTCTCCTCTCCTCTCTCATAGAGTGGGGTTCTGGTTATCCTAAAACTCCAGATCAGCCTGCCTCTGCTTCCTGATGATTCGATTAAAAAGGTGTTCATCACCATGCCTGAACTCTTAAAACAACAGCAAAAATCAAATGGTGGTTATTATTGTCAAGTATCAAAAACAGTCTCTCTACAGATACTTTTCAAGACAGGGTTTCTCTGTATTGTTTTGGAGGTTGTCCTGAAATTCACTCTGTAGACCAGACTGGCCTTGAACTCAAGAGTGCTGGGATTAAAGATGTGTGCCACCAACGTCCAGCTCTCTCTACAGATAACTTATTTCATTTTTAAAAATTACATGTACCTAGTATGTGTGGGCATTTACATGTTATAGGTATTCAGTGTGGAGGTCAGAGAACAACTTGTAGTTTTTACCATGTCAATCCCAGGATTCAAATTCAGTTGTTTCTGTTGAGCCATTTTTTTCCAACCCAGATTCTGTTAAAGAAACCTATGCAACAAATGAATACTAAAGTTCCTAAAATTTTATCAAGATAAGGTCTTTTAACTATTACCAGTCATGTAAAAGCATAACAGCTTTAAAAAACAATTTCTTGGGCTGGAGAGATGGCTCAAGGGTTAAAAGCAATGGCTGCTCTTCCAGAGGACCTGGGTTCAATTCCCAGCACCTTCATAGCAGTTCATGACTCTCTGTAACTCCAGTTCCCCAGGATCTGGCACCTTCACACCAATGCACATAAAGTTAAAATAAACTATTTAAAAAAAAAAATTCTTTTTTCTTTTAAAAAGATAGGGCTTCATTATGTTACCCCGGGTGGCCTCAAACTCAAGAGATCTAGATTTATTTGCCTCTGTCTCCTGAATGCTAGGATTAAGTGCATGCCACCATATATAACATAACTAATAGTTTTCAAATTAAAATTCCCATCATGTTATAAGAACTGTGATTAAAATTGTATTAATAAGGCCAGGCAGTGGCAGATAGGATGTCTGAATCGAAGTCAGCCGGATCTACAATAGCCAGCTACACAGAGAAATGCTGCATTGAAATTCCTCCCCCATTTAATTAATAAGCATTTAAATGGAATCACACTCCCCCAACAGCAATAATGACAAAAGCAATAGCTGTACTACAGACCACTCTGCCTTTTTGCATGTGTCTTGGTCCTTGTAGGTTCCCATTACCAGCACCTGTACAGAGGAAAACAATTTTTTAAAGGTTCACACATACAAAAAAACTTCCTTTATAAAGCAAGGTAGGTAGTTTAAAAAAAAAAAAAAGACATCTTTCAAATACATCTTTCTATTTGGAAGGTGTTACAAATGATTGTCTTTTCACACTGTTACTTTAAAAGAACTTCTTAATGAACATTCTGACACTTCCACTTACATTAAAAGTGATTATAGTTATTAGAAAAGGCAATATGAATTTCATATAGTCACCCAGATTTCCTCTTGGCCCAACTGCTGGTCCTCCAAGATGAAATGAAGGAGGTGGAGGTCCCAGAATTCCTGGTGCTGGGTTTGTGGACTGTTGCAGCATGAATGGATCACCCCTAGTAATAAGAACAAAATAAATGAAGCACAGTAAAGGAGAGTCATCAGATACAAAAATATCAAAGTACGTCTTAAAAGTAACTATGACTATTTTAAGCTTCAGGAGTATGTATAAAGTAACTAGTTGAAATTGCATAACAATGAAAGAAGAAGTATTACTATGTTCTTTTCTGAAAATTCCTTAACTTGCACTTTTGGGACTAAAGGTGTGTGCCATCACTCTAACTGGCACATTAAAAAAAAAAAATCAAATTCTTAATTGGCAAAAAAACAAAACAAAACAAAACAAAAAACACCAAAGTATTATGAAACACAGAGAGTTAAACTTGGATTCCTTACACTGCTTTCCTTTATAAACAATAGCCTAAAAAGATTTTAACTTACATTGTGTGTCCTGTATCATTGTCAGGATTCCATTCTGGGTAGCTTTAAAAAGATCAGAAAATTAATTTTAAAATAAAAAGGTTCTTTTCACAAAGTAGCATCCTTAAGCCTCTAAAAAAAGAGATGATTTATTAGTAAAGTTATCTGAGAATTTGTATTTCAAAAGCTTATAACGTAATTCAAAAAGAATTTCAGACACCAAATTCTTTGGAATAAGCCCACAGTGCTTGTAAATTTAAATGATGCATGCTGAAATCTTTCTTTACTTGTTAAATTATAAGCAGGGAAAATGCTGCACAATGAATTAGAAAGGTGATTATGTAAAGAAAAACTAAAAAACCCCAGTTTCCTTCCCCAATATTAGGCATCAGAGCGGAGTTCAGCTGTGGCACCAGAAAGGCCAGCCCCAAAGAGTTCTGTATGGATGGATAATATCTACTGTATTTGGCAGTTTCTTTAAATTCCATTTCAATGTAGCATCCTAAATTCAGAATGAAAGCCATGTATGTCAAAAGCTTTCCATGAAGAAACTGACTTGGCTTCTAATAATTTTCAATTATTCCTCTCTATTTTTTGTTCTATACTATGTATTAGTTGTTATTAAAGTTCTAACATATATTTTGATTACCAACCACTCTCTTTTCATTAATTCTACTAAAATTATTTCTTGATTAACAGGCCAATGTGTATTTATCCTAGAAATTAAAAATAAAGTAACAAAGCATTGTTATATCTACTATTAAGATATAGTTTATCTGAAATTAAACATTAACCAGACATTATCAATTACGTGACAGTAATAGTATAAGTAAATGATGAACTTCCCCAAACCAATAATGCCTGTTTCTGATTCACAGTAAGGATGCTTCATAAGTATTTCAAATTCCTACATTTCAAGAAGAAGCTGGCATCGACGACTGTGACTTGCTCCATTGATATGTTGACTCCACTCCTGCAGCAAAGTAAATTAGTAGAATTAACAAATATTAAAAGCAAATATATTTTCATATGAACCATTAAATTAATATATATGCAGTATTGGGTTGTACACTTCTCATTGATTAAGTCACAATGGTTTAAGTTAAAACCATGTCTGAGCCCTTGAAGCTTGATCCTGCCCTCAAATACTCTATGCACATTCTTGGAAAAACTGGATTAACTTGGTCAACATAATTGAGACCTGACAGTGGGAAAATGTATATAGTAGAGATCAAGAACAAATGACCTCGAGGTCAACTGAGCACAGTAACTGCTGTGAAGCAAACTCAGGTATCCACCATTTTTGGAATGGATTATTTTGTAATATTATATATAACAAAATAGCCATATCCCTAGATTTCTAGAAAATGTGTGTGAAAAACTAAAGTAGAATCTTTAATTTCACCTAGCTTTTTAGGCAAAGTCCAAGTATACTATACGTTCTAGTATAGTGAAAACAAAACAATAAAAAAGCACTGTTAAAAAAAGGCCAACATGATTTAATGGAAATGGCTTATCTAAGAAATTTTCCCCATTTGTCAAAAATTTAATCTCCCATATTTCCCTAAAACAGAATCAAATTTAAGGAGTGCCTTTTTCCAAATTTTAGGGAGGGAAACAATGTATTCCCCATTAGTATTTTCTTTTTTGTAATTTAGTTTTTAATAGAAGGCATTAACTAAATTTATTTGATTTAAAGTATTTTTCCTTTCCCTAAGAAAAATATCCAGTTAACTTTTTATCTAATTAGGAAAGGTGGGCTTTGCTATCAAAATGCCTTGCTTTATTTCCTAAAGTACAATAGAACTAGATATAGCTCCCAAGTCTAAATTATTTAAGTTCATTACAACAAAATTCCCCTACTGTGGTAAAAAACAAAACAAAAAACAAATGAAACAAAGATAAACTATCCAAACATTACCAAGCATATCTATACTGCACTGTTTTAAAAATCCACGTTGTTTTACAGTTTTGATTTTTTCACGAATTCCACAAATCAGAGACAATTTATAAAATAGCCACTGTTCTTGAAAGTTCTTAGTAGAATATAAACATGGTCAGGCAATGTATCTTTCTCAAACAAGGGGATTAGAGAGCCTCAGCTAAGTGAAATATAACATCAAATTACACAATTTGATTTTTACGAAGGCTCAAAATGGAATTTTATAAACTGGACCCTAATTTTGATTTATATTACAACAGTTCATGCTAAGAAAGTTAATTAAACCCATGTGAAAGAACTGAAATGGAACATATCCAAACAAAATAGTACTTAGAATGTGAGGTGCTATCAACTACTATTCTTAGTATCTCTGAAAACTAAATTGTCTTTCAAAAGTAATAGCTAATAGGAACTTGAGAGACTTCCATAGCTGTTATACAATCAGACAGTTGGGCTACTTGCAACACAATAGACCATTTCTGGAAGCCATTTTAAAAATAGGTGCAAGCAAGAGGCGCCATAGGTAAATTCACAAATTCAGAAAAGGGACTAAACGAATCAACTTAAAGAGTTTCAGAACAACTTCATATACATTACAAGTATCTATCCTTAAGAAGCAGTGTTTTAGGAAAAGAATGTTATCCTCTTAAGCATGCTTCTGAATTATAGGAGATGGAAAGGGCACAGAGCTGAAAAGAAATTATATCCAATCCCCCATGCCCCCTAAGTTTCAAGTTTATGGTAAAAATGTAGATGGTCTTTCAAAGTACTAGAAAGAAGGCCAAGATCAGAAAATTAGTCATGTACCTCCCAACCCCACCCAGTATTAATCAGTTCCACTGTACCTAATCTCTTGATGTCTAGTTTAAAATGAAGACTAAGAATCCAACAATTAAAAAACAAAACAAAAACCCACAACACAAAAAACCTTCTGGACTCTATTCTGACATAATTCCTACATAAGATAAAGAATAGGGATTCACTTTTTGAATTTACAAGTTAGTGGGGGAAAAAAACCCTACACTCACACTTAACATCTTTCAGGTATCTTTTTTGTTTTCTAAGGCAGGGTCATAGACAGGCTTTTAAGTACTAAGATGAAAAAGACATGTGGCATCAGGCTATTTGAGATATCTAAGTTTTATAATAATCATTCTGGAAGTATTTTCAAAGTGGCAGAATAGATGTAATTTAAAGACCTAATACTAAAAGGAAAAAAATAGAAATTCAAGTAATAAGACAAAAAAGCTGCAGTGGGCAATTTTCTTTAAATGAAAGGATCTTGAAAGAAGTTTGAGATTATATAGATATGCTACTTGATGTTCTAAAATATCCTAGGGAAAAACTCAAAGGAAGATCACTACTTAAAAATCACCTAAAAATAAAAATAAGGGCACTCCATCGTGACAAGTTACTTTTCATGCTTTTCACTTGAACTTTGTATAATGTAGGTCATTTAACATTATCATTAAGTGAAAACAACAGATTTTCCAAGTTATGCAGTGATACCAGAGAGCAGGATACTTTGTTTTTCATTGTCTGTGTCCACCAAAGGAATTTCTTAAAAAGTCACTTCTGTATCTGTTAACAGTTAAATGCTGAAGTATTTACTTTTTTAATGAAGCAGATACAGAGAAAACAGCTAAGTTGAGCCCGAGAAAATCCAAGTGCTTAAATTTGTCCCAATTGATCTAACCTACAAACACAAATTTTATAAATAATTGTTAAATATATCTAATATTTTGAAGAATATGCAAACTAGAACCCGAGCATTTTTATAAGCTAAAATTACTCCTTAATCCAAAGTGTCATTAAGTCTTTCAAACTGCTCTTTTGTTAGTTTAGATTCATTTAAATTATTAGCCTTCTGGGGAACTAGGAAGTAGTAAAATTTGAAGGAAAAAATCTTATACAAAATAGAAACTTTTATCTGACAAATTCTTTTATGATTCCTTTTTGTGTTCCTTTCTTCCAACAGCAAAGATGTGCAGTTCTTTAAGATTACTTTCATTTGGTCACTGTAATTATTTTCCTTGGACTTAGAGATCTTTTCTGAGAACACTAGTCATATAATTTCTGCTATATTTCTTGGTAAAGAGGTTAAGAAGTACATATGAAAAGCTAGAATCAATTAAATTTAATGGACCTTTTTTCACTGCTTTAATTTACACCAGACTAAATCTTGAAGTTTAGTACAGGATAAAAAACAATAAATTCCATGGTGTAGTTAGTATAGGTAACAAATTTGGAGTATTAAAATAAAAATGTCTAACAAATAAGAGTTATTGATTCTTTTGAGCTCCAGGTTCTATTTCTTTGTTGAGACAGGGTCTCACTACATAGCCCTGGCTGGCCTGGAACTTAGTATGTAGATCAGGCTGGCCTTGAATTTAGAAATCCACCTGCCTCCCAGTGCTGGGATTACAGGCGTGAGCCACCATACCCAACAGTTTTATTTCTTAAAAAAAAAAAAAACACACAAAAAAAAACAAAAAAACAAAAAACAAACCTAACTGCCTATTATGTTAACTTATTTGATATGAAACAAAAGTTAACAAAAGTTTAAAAGGTAAAAATGCTGAGATCTAATAGAAAAGGGAACAATAGAACAAAAAAAAAATTAACAGGGTCTAGTGGATTAAAAAGAAAAACACACTAAAAATGAAGCTAAAAGGAAGTGATATGAAAAGAAAATGTTCCAGATGTTTCTGTAAAGAAAAACCCTGTAACAGTGACCACAAAAAATAAATCATGGTAGCACTTATTCCAGTTAGATAAGTTACTATAAAGCACATCGGGAAAAATGGATGTTCATAGATTACAGGTCAAGCTAGTGGGGGTGCTGCACCATTGACTTTAAGTCAACTGCAATATATACTGAAAAATAGAATTTTAAAAACTCCAATGAGAACGAGTAACACTGAAAAAGTTGCAAGAGAAGGACAACACTTTAAAGGGCATTTTGAAAAGGTCTCCATTTTGCCAGATGTGATAATTAAAGGAGAATTAGGTTTGTTCTCCTCCCCACCCCCACCCCCATGACTATTCCAGAAGTACAATAAGCCTAAGTCAGAAAAAGAATTTTCTTACAAGGAACACAGAGCAGGATAATATAGTCAACGATTTATCCAAAGTCTCTAAAGGGACAGATGCAATAACATGGGATAATAAAAAGTGAGCTTTGAAGTATGTTTAAGGAAGTTGTGGAAACGGAGAAAAAAAAATGATGAAAAATTTCAGTCATAGTATGAGAGTTTGTGTTAAAGGGAAATTAAAAAAGGAAGAATGAACTAATCTAAAATATGAAACATACTGAAACACACACCAGGGCTCTACATTAACTTTCCCTATAGCCACAGATAAAGAAAAAGGAGAATTGTACAAGAATATATCTTTGACTACATACAAATCAGCAATCAAGATAGATGGAAAGCTGAAATCTAGCATCCTAAATGGCAAAGCACATTGACTTCAGGGGGAAAAAAAATGCTTAATTCAACAAAGCAGACCAGGGGGGAAAAAAGCCTGCTTAAATATGATTAAGAAGAACATACTGATGCCAAAAAACAACAAGATAATCCCAGTAGATGACAGCTTTGTGGCTAGAAGTATTCTAGGTAGATTGTATTATTAATGTAAAGCCCTGGTTTATATTGCTCAAAAACAATTACCTTCCAAATAAAGTGTTCTCAAAAGTATAACAATTCTTGATCAACTCAATGTCATCAGACTACAGAATTAGAGTAAAAGATATAGGTAAATACAGAATAGGCACTACAATGTAAAAGAAATTAGAAGCATCTGTTGCTTTAACTCACCTTATTAGAATGAACTGGCAAATCACATATAGAGCACAGATGGGGATAACCCTTCGGTAAGAGTCCATGGAAGTCTTCAATATTGCTACTTGGAGGAGCGCCCCTTTTTTTCTCAAAGAGAGATCTCTCTTGTAAGGGGCCAGGACCACGTCCCATTCTCTCATACTCACTGTCAAATTTATGATAGTTATGCGAGGTCTCACCAAAAAAAGAATCATCCCTACACCTTTCTCCATCTCTTAATCTGTCATCTTCATAATCCATTCTGTCATAATAACCAGATTCTTGAGAACGACTTCCATGGTCATAATCAAGCACTGGGTTGAGACTAGGACCACGATCATCAAAGCTATCTCTTCTAAAGTGCCTTTTTTCTTCCCAATCATCCCTAGGTACTCTGTATGGTGGCTCCCGTGTAGCAGATCTGCCATCTCTACCATAACTCAATGTAGGGCCTTCTTCAGTTCTCCTCCTTTTAAGCTGTAGAAGGATTTGGGGCAAGTTCTCAGGAGTAATCTTGTCCTCTGGATAACGACTCAGTTCATCTAAGTCTCTAGCAGAAAGACCAAAGCTGGCCAAAATATTACTGGCCTGGTCTGCATCTCCACGGTGTTGAGAAGACAAAGGGAGTGGACCTCTACTTCCAATGTTAAATATAGACTGCAAATTATGGGAAGAAGTACTAGCAGAAGACAGTGCGCTATGAGCTCCTTGTTGATTCAATGAAGAACTCATTCCAAGATTCATTAAACTAGCAAGGCGTGCAGTACCCTGGTTCATCCTTCCAAGAGTTGCTGGCATACTTAAAGACTGGGTAGCAGCAGCAAGAAGGCCTATTCCTGCTGCAGACAGGTCACGCCCATGACCCTGTGAGTCCCTACCGAGAGATGACTGCTGGAATGACTTGGACATTGTAGAACTATCTCTTGTCTATTTTATAGATCAAAAAAAAAATTGTTTTTAAAGACGGCCAAAAAGAAAGCTCAAACTAGAAAGCTAGGTTAACTTTGCTTCAAAAATGGTAACGCCAAGAAAAAGGATCAATAAGGACTGTAGAATCTTCTTCAAGCTGAGAACCAGCAGACAACTCTGTAGAAAAATAAGCAGTTTTAGTCATAAATCCCTTTAAGTAGATGCCGTTTTTTTTAAGAAAAAAAAAACTTACGCATCATGTTGATTTAAAAAAACCACTTAAGATCTCAACTTACAAGGAATTCATTACATATCTTAAACAGATTCCAGATGTATGCAGAGCCTGCATATAGATATTTAAAAAGTAGCTTTTCATGCTGAAATTTAACAAAGGGAATTTCATATTGGGCTTAAAAACATTTAAATTCAAGGCCTAGATGTTTGGGTGCATCAAAATTTCAGTGAAAACATAGATGGGTTTCTTCTTTTAGAAGAATAAAAACATACTCTATAGTATGATGCTTAAGTTCTAGAAGACTAAAAAAACAAAAAACAAAAAAACAAAAACAAAAAACAAAAAAACAAAAGGTCAGCAAGTCAAAGATGAACCAGTTGTATTCTGCTTTAGAAAATGAGACCTATTATCACTTTCAGAAAGAACCAAGTAAAATCACAAGTAAGTGAAGCTTAGGGTGTCAAGTACCTGATGTAAGATCTAAGATCAAGTAACAGTTGAGACCTTTATGCAGCAAAATTTACTTGAGGTGAAGACAGATGTGAAGAAAAATAAGTAATTTCCTACAACTGTAAGGATTTCTATCCAAATTTAAGCCACACAACTAACGGCCTTCTTACTGACCATACCAGGCAGTGCTTATTTGATACCTACACTTATAAGGTAAGGAGAACAATTTTGGTCAGTATAGAAACAGAACTACCAAGAAAAACCCAGGTACAGGAAATACAGGTGATTTAAAAGAAGGGAAACACCCACAAGGTAGGACCTATTATTGTTCAATGTTCAGGACTGTAACATTTCAAAAGCACATAAATGAAATCTAAGACCTTGTTAACAGATTTCTACAAACTCTTCACAAGAATAGCCCAATAGCTTGAAAACTTAATTCTGATTATGATCCTTCAAGATGTGTTTCTGGATGAAACTTACATTAAATCATTAGCACCGTATCTCAAAAACTGTTGTAAGAATGTGTAAAGTATTAACACGATTCCCATAAAGCATTAGTGGAAAGACATAATACAACCAATGTTTCCTGTAAGATAATTTTATAATCACAATCACATACAAGATAAATCTGATCAATTTGCCACAGACTTCTACTATGATGCATTGCTTCTCCAGTTTTGTGTTTGATTAGCCACCCACCTAAGCATTGTAGTTTAATAAATTACACTAAAACCCAGAAAATATCCAATAGTTAAAAGTCAATTATAGGATCAATTCCATCAATGATAAAGCAAAGATATACTGGACGAACACAGTGGCAGAGGAAGAATTAAAAAAAAAAGTTACAGGCAAGAAAGATTTGGACTAGATTAAAAAAAAAAGATGTAAAAAAGTAAGACACAAATGCTATCAGTGGTAGCTGGAATTACAGATGTTTTTGTACACCAAGAAAGATGAATTTGAGAAAAGACACCAAGGAAACTAATTCTAGACAAGATCCACTTATGTAATCTACTTAAGCTTTAAGGTAAGATTAATGAAGAGAAGAGTTAGTGAACAGTGGATGAAAGGTTTTTGTGGTTTTTTTTTTTTTTTTAATAGTATCTTTAAAATGCCATACAGGACATCAGACTGAAATACTATGTACATTGGTATTAATCTGATATTAATGTATACATTTTGTATACATTTTTACAAGTCATTTTAAAACATATAGTTAATATTTAATCACACTTTGACATTCATGTTACAGCCAAAGCCTTTTATTATTCAAAAGCCTGTCTTTTGAAAACAACTATTCCTATTCCAGAGAAATAATAGTATTTTATTATGCAAAAATTTCAATTACCATATTTTAAGGAAACAATCATTAAGTTACAGAGACATCAATTGCATTTTTGTACTTTACATGGAACAGTGGATCTGGAAAACTAAGTTAAGGTAAAAAGATAATTTAAAAGACAAAACAGAAAATGGATGTTAGAAAAACTCAGAAAAGGGAGGACAAACAATATAAATCCTATGACAAGGAGCAATTCACAAGAACCACTTTACTTCTAATATACTTGATTTCAACTTAAAATACAGCTACACACAACAGTGAAGTAACATTACTGCAAAAAAGAACTTATGTTGGAGTTTTAAGAAAAAAAAAAATGCCATGACCAAGACTCCCACCCTGTGACAGTGGTAGTGCTCATAAATATAATCTCAGTGCTTTGGAAGTCAAGGCAGGAGAACTGTTGTGAGTTTGAGGCTACATAGTATGAAACCTGCTTCAGAAAAAACTTAGGTGTGTAATGGAAAATGAAACATGAAAGCACTGCTTAGAAAACGGTGCAACTAGCAATGAGCCTAAAATATAAAAGCCATTTTTAAAGGACTCATTCCCATGGGGCTTGCTGTTCATTAGTAAAGTTACTGTAATACTGAAATACTTCATTTATTAAAAATTCAAGGGCTAGTGCCCATCTAGATGGCTCACTGGGTAAAGGCCCTTGCCCAGAAAGACCAGTGACTCAAGTTTGATCTCTGGGACAGAAAAGTTTGAGAACAACCACACAGAATTGTCTTCTTGTGGTATGTGTTATTCTGTATCCTTGTTGTGGCATGTGACCTACCACCAATAATAAGTAAACAACATTATTTTTAAATTAGGGGTTTGAAAGTTCAAGATGTTGCCCAACGAGTACAGTGCTTAAAGCCCTGGAACAGTGGCACATGATTTTAATCTTAGCATAAGGTCTACTGTCCCAGCCTGGTTTCAAACTCAAGATACTTCTGCTTCCACTTCCAGAGCTTTGGCAGAGTGAAGGCAGTAAAATTGAGTGCAAGGGCATTTTCAGCTGGAAAGTTTTTGAAGATGCCTGGGCTGTCTTCAGAGACTTAACCTGAGAATGTAGTATCAAAATACAATTTACCCACAAATTCTAAATGCCCATTCATGAATGTACAATCTTCTACTCTCAAATACACAAAGCATACCCAATCACAAAAAACAGGAAAACAAAAGAACCTTACCAGCATGACCTAAATTTCATTTTAAGTAGTCGGGGAGGGGGAATAGTTCAGTGGAACACTTGCCTGCCTAGTACTCCTGAGAGGTCTTCAGTTCAACTGCCAGCACCACACAGAAATAAAAAATATGAAAATCAATTTAAAATTTATACTCGGGAGACAGAGGTAGGAGAACTCTAGTCTACAGAGTTTAGAGCTACATAGTGAGGCCCTGTCTTCAAACAAAACAACAACAACAACAACAAAAAAATCCAACTTATTTTGTGTGTGTGTGTCAGGATAGCTTGTAGGCGTCAGTATTCTCTTCCCACCACGTGAGTCCTGGGAATTAAACTAAGGGTATCAAGCTCAGCTGAAAGCATCTTAGCCCAATAATCAAAAATTTAGCTAATTTATAGAAATATTTATTTACATACAGAGCCTCTGATTAACAACACAACTTCCCTCCTGATGATGATGATTATTATTATTATTGAAACAGCTCTAGCTGCCCTGGAACTCGCTTTGTAGAACAGGCTGGCCTCAAACTCTTAAGAGATTCACCTGCCTCTGCCTCCCAAGTGCTGGGACTAAAGGCATGCACCACCACTGCCAGGCTTAAATATTCTTTATTGGACTTCTTTTAATTTAAAAAAAATACTAGGTCTAGATGGACAGCTCAGTCTGTAAAGTACTTGCCTTTCAAATACAACAACCAGAATTAGAGTTTAAAAAATAGATATTGAGGGCTGGAGAGATGGCTCAGAGGTTAAGAGCACTGGCTGCTCTTCCAGAGGTCCTCAGTTCACTTTCCAGCAACCACATGGTGGCTCACAACCATCTGTAATGAGATCTGGTGCCTTCTTCTGACCTGCTGGGATATATGTAGACAGAACACTGAATATATAATAAAAACAAATAAATCTTTAAAAATAGATATTGATACTCCCCCCTGTACCGGGGAAGCAGAGACCAGGAGAGATCTTCGGGGCTTGCCTGACCAACTATTATAGTCTAATTGGTGACCTCAGGCCAAATGAGCTCTGGTCTCAAAAAAGATGGATGGCATTCTTGTGAGC